TTGTTTGCTTTGGTGTTGCCACCCCTCACAGTCCTCATGCCACCCCCTTGCCACCCTAAAAATAATTTTCTAGATCCGCCCCTGCTTTAAAGGGGCAGAGATGTGAATTTTTAACCACCTTATTTTCCTGTAAGAGCGGATGCGGTCATTTGCAAAATTAAATTGAATGTGTCATTCACTTCCAGCTATCGTAAGCTGTACAGAAGTGCTCGTTTTGCGGCTTGATATTGCAAACTGGTGTGTCTTACCATATTGTTTTAATGTACCATCTCAATTATGAACACATTGGTTTGTAGTGCAGTTTAATGGTTTACTGCGCTGTTATTCTCCTCGTTATTCCCCTACAGCGCTAATGATACAGAAGTCTCACACATTCACAGAAAACAGCTTACTTCCGCGTTGAAAAATAAGGGGGGTAGTATCGTTATAGGTGTTGTGCTTTGTCATGATCGCACAAGGCAGATCAGCAGGATCCCGTCACGTAAGACTCGTCAGACACTAACTTGACTTGAATGCTCCTCAGAATTACTTCATTCGCTTCTAACAGAGGCAGCAGAAGTGCAGATGTTTTGCACGGTGAGTATCATGGAGTAAAGGATATTCAGAGATAAACCCTAATCTTACTGTATAACCACCGTCCACTACAGGGGCATGTAGCTATATATGTGAAAAACAGGAGGGACCCACCAACTACCAATTTTACACTACTTAGATAAATCTTAGTGTACCTCCCAGTGCGTTGTCACGAACTACAACGACTGAATTTAAGTTGTTATACCTTTTATAAATGATAGAGTTTTATACAAGAAAGAGAATTAATTGATAGAAAACCAATGCAGTGCTTCACATCTATACCCACAGATGGTTTACAGAATAATGTGAATTAATACAACAGAGAAAGGATGATAACTACAAGGAATCTTCAGTGTGTTCCAGTAAATGTTCTCATCCCCAAATACAGTCCCATTGATGATGAGTGGAAAAAGAACCCCCTACACAAAAATAGCAATAAGTCCTTAAAGTGCTCTGCAAGTAATCCCAACAAAAAAAGGCCCACAGAGTCAAGTCCTTGTACTCAGGATATATGATAATCCACAAGCAATACAGCGCAAACAATCCATTGAGAAGAGTCTTCTT